ACAAAGAGAGCAGTGGCGGTTCTGTCCAGCTGAGGGGATGACACCCGAACTGGCAGGAGCTCAGAGATAATCATACCCGACCTGACAGAAGCTTAAAAGTGAGTGCACGAGGTGGTTATAAAAGGCTCCCTACCCCCCAAGAACGAGGTATGTGGACTTTGTGCCATCTGGTTTTATCTTGCCTTTGAGAGAATTCTAACTTGAGCTTCGGAGCAATCTCACCCGGTTCCCCCCGGAGTTTCCTCATCTTCTCCGTTTCAGGTTCCCTGTAGCTCCGTTCAGAGGCAAGGTCGTTGACAGCTAGGACCGGCCGGATTGCACACCATCAAATGTCATGAATCTGCACAACTTGGTCTTGATTTAAGTTAACCACATAAGCATTTGTAGGTTTCTGAGAATAATAGTATTTTTAAAATAAAATCAAACGATTTTATTAATGATGAAACTAAGTAAACGAGACCACCCAAGAGAGAAAAAAAAGAAAACATCGAACCTTCTAGACAAAAATTCCTAACATCATGATAAAACTACAATGACAAAACCAAACTCTCTCCAATTACAAGCTAGTTGAGAATCAAGAAACAAGAAGCACCGTGTATCCTCATCACACTATGGCCTCTGTCTCTATTGCTTTTTGAGGTACCCTTGTCAACCTCCGTGCAATTGCTGACCCCCTTTTGAACCCATTCTGTATTTACCACTATTAATCACTGCTGCCAAGAATCTCATTTTAGTCTTCTTCCAACCTATACCCCTAGAGACCCATGGCTCCACCAGGACCACCACATCTTTCTCAACAACATTACAAACCAACCCAATAAAATTCTCTACGTCATCCTTAATTTCAAAAAGCCACCTCTGGTATCTGGGCTCTCCTACACTTCTCATATTTTTGCAAGTTTCTGAATATCTTCAATACAAAATTGATGCAAGTATTTGCAACTTAACAAGAAAATACTATACAATTATTTTATGTCAGGACTAAAACAACGTCTAAGCTAAATTTGAAAAGAAGAATGAACAAATAAAACACAAAGCATAACGGTGCGACTATTGTGCAAAAGAAAAAGACTATAATGGTACACTTTATACGGATCTTAAGCAATACATACCTTTGTTGAAAATGATTCGTCTTCTATGAATATTGGATTACACATGAAACCGAAGCAATTAGATCCCAGATCAGAGCATGGGCGGTTGATTAGAGGAGGAGGAGGAGAATGATTCAGCAGCGGTCTTACCTCGCCAAAGGTTGTTTCGGCGACGACAGATGGTTTGGAGTTCTACACTGCTTGCAGTCTTTGTTTGGCAATGGCTGACACATGGGCGCCTCACAGGCACATCCACCGTGCATTACGGGAGATGTTCCCAATGCATGTAGGATGTGTGTGTGTGAGGTCGGTGTGAAGCGCCCTGTGTGAAGAGCAGATCCGGTCTCTTCTGTTTGATTAGGGTTGGAAATGAAAGGGGTATTTTTGTAAAAAACAAAAAAAAAATCAAGGGATAAATGGACTGCAATCCACCTCAAAAATTGTAGCCCCCTCCACTAGTAGCCCCCTATAAACTGTGTCCTACCCGTAAATTTGGCATCAATTCACTGGCAAGATTCACTCCACCCCTAAAAATCTTATCCCCACCCTAGGGATGGACTGAACTATAAAAGCCGAAAAATCAAACCATAAACCGGAATAGGAATCCCGTTCCCTTGGGGGGAGGTCGGAAATGGCCATTCCCCTATAAGGGGATTCCCATTCCACCTATAATGGGAATGGGATTCCCATTCCAGTCAACCAAACACTTTGAATAGGAATGGGCCATCCTGATTCTGATTCCAGGCTTCTATTCCCTTTAACCAAATAGACCCTTAGTGTATTTGTTTAATGGAGGCTTCCGCCATAACGAAAAGTTTAACGGAATCATAATTTGAAAAAATGAAGAATAATGAGGATAAATAGTCATTTTTGCTAATTAAACAACATAATTTAACAAAAGAAAAAGAATTTCTAAAAGATCAAGATACTTTGAGTAAGACTTTAAATTTTAAGGGTATTTAAGCAATTATCAAATAATTTAAGAATACTTTTAAGTAATTAAACCTTATTTTTAGTGGGGTAACATCGAAAAGATGAAAATCTGATCATTCATACCTGGCTGAGACCTGGGATCAAGTCCCGCCTACACCATGGTTGGGGGATGGATCATGGATACCCGGTTGTGTAGCCGTAGCCCATACAAGTTGATCAAGATTTGGAACGACGGGTGGATATAAGCGCATCCAATATGGATTAGACCCGCCACAAAAGCTCTTGAGCTGCCAAGACCATTCTAGTCAAACAAACACTTGGAATGGAATGGGCCATTTCGATTCCGATTCCAAGCTTTTATTCCCTTGAATCAAACAGACCCTCGGTGTATTCGTTCAATGGAGGCTTCCGCCATAACGGAAATGGAAATGGGGTAGAAGTTGGGGAATGGTAAATCAATTTATTTTTTGAATGACAAATGGATGGGAAATTCATCATTTACAAAGAAAATAATGGTGGAAACATTGAGAATTCGGAGTTACTGGTTAGTGAATGTATTGATGATCAGAGGAAAGTTTGGAGAGAGGAAAAAGTAATAGACATTGTTTCAACTTATTCCTGGCAGAAAATTAGATCCATTTTATTCTCTCTATGAATAAGGATGATGAACTTATTTGAAGATTGGAACCAAAAAGTAATTTTTCCATTAAGTCGGCTCATTTAATTGGAATACTAAAGTTTGGAAACTATGTTGTCCCTCTAAATTGAAATTTTTTCTTCTTCTTCTTTCAAGTGGAAGGCTTCCCTCTCTGGAGTTTTGGAAGAAAAAGGGGTTGAGTTAGAAGATATCAATCATATTTTCTTCCAGTGTACCTAATATAAACAAATTTTGATGATGGTTTATTCAAACATAGTCGGTCCAAAAGATGAAGATGGAAATATGAAAGATTAGTGGGAGAGAATTTCAAACCACAGACAATAATTTAAATTAGAAAAAACAGCTATTATATTAGAAAACCACAGGCACTAATGGCTTTTTATGAGAATGTAAAAGTTCATCAAAATGAACCCGCTAGAGAATTTTCTAAGAAGTGGCAACTGATTATTTGGAAATCCCCAAAATGCAACACAATCAAAATTAATTTTGATGCATATTGTATGAATGGTTTCAATTGTGATGTGGGGACCCATTGCTATAAATTATGGTGGGAAAGTTCTAGATATAAAGGCGTACTTTTTGGGTAAAGCCACAATTAATATGGCAGAGGCCTGAGCTACATTAGAAGCCCATAATCTGGCTTTAAACTTCAAAGACTGTCCCATGATTATAGGAGGGGACTCTAAGTTCGTCATTTATTGTTTTCGTGGAGAAACTCAACCGCCATGTAGCATACAAAACATCATCGAAGACTGCATTGCTCTGAAGACCCAGCTCGCATTTGATTTAGAGTACCGATATACCTTTTGGTGAAGCGAAACAAGCTGCTGATTGGCTTACTCATTAGGCCCAATTCAGTCCTTTAGACTCCTTAAACTTTAATATCCAGGATCTCCCTTCCCCTCTAGGTTTTATATGTAATTGTGATTATTGGGGACGTGCTACCCCTATGCTCCTGTAACACCGTTTGGATTTATCAAAAAAAAAGAAAAATTTAATGGAGACATAATTTGAAAAATTGAAGAATAATTGAGAATAAAGAGCCTTTTTTATTAATTAAACAGCAAAATTTAACCAAAAAAAAAGAATTTCTAAAAGTTCGAGATACTTTGAGTAAGACTTGGAATTTTAAGAATATTTAAGCAATTATCAAATAATTTAAGAATACTTATAAGTAATTAAACCTTAAATTTAGTGGGGTAACATCGAAAAGACGAAAATCTGATCATTCATAGGTGGCTGAGACCCGGGATCGAATCCCGCCTACAGGGTTGGGGGATGGATCATGGATACCCGGTTGTGTAGCCCTAGCCCCTAGCCCATACGAATTGATCAGGAATTGGAACGACGGGTGGATATAAGCGCATCCAATATGGATTAGACCCGCCACAAAAGCTATTGAGGGCAATTTCTCCATTGAAAATTACGAACCCTAAGAGCTCTCCCCACTATAAATTTCTCCAAGGAGCTGTGCGCGTTTTCTGTTTTGCGGAAGGCGCAGAGCGAGGGCCGAGGGGCTGGGCTTGAATTGCCAATTACACATTCCACCAAATGGGTAAAAGTTCCAACTCGCTGAAGCCACTTCGTGTCTAGGGTTTCTTACAGGGTTCTTGTCTCGTAGGTTATGTTATTAATATATTTTTTTATACCTTATGCTTCGATGAAAGTTTGGTTGTCTCTGCAATTCATGGAGATTTGGATGGTTTATTGTGTCAAAATATTTTAGCTTATCTCGCGTTTTTTATGCTATATTTTTAGTTTTCACTCGTATTCGTTGGAACCTTATTTTTGTTTTTTTAATTTCCATTTTCCATTAGAGATATGGACTTTGTTTCGGTGGCTCAATTTTTGTTTTATGATTCCATTTGTAACTTCTAGGTATTTGACCTAAAACAAGTGTTGCTTTAATTGTTTAAATGTCATCCTCACCGTATCTATGATTCATTTACTTTTACAGCGAGGATCATGGTTCATGAACTCCGAACCAAGTCGAAGGCTGAGCTTTTGAACCCAATGCATTTCCCCACAAATAAAGCAAGAACATGGGGATTCAGTAGTATTGGGCTTGTATTGATGCTGAGTACCTTGTTCCCCTTGTGGTTTCTTCCCATGGTCTTTTCTTGCCGGCTTGTTGAAGTTGGAGTTGTGTACGGAGGGCGTGATTGGTTTGCTCCCCACTCAAATTTGAGGCACGTGGGCTAATTAGCTTGGGGGCTTCTTCGTTTGATAAGCTCGTCTCAGTGAGTTGCTATGCCATTACCATTGCCGTTGCAAGGTCTTGCACGTTGCTGCGTTGGAAGGGGTGAGCATTATTCGGTTAAAACCGAAATACCGAACTTAAAATTTTGGTTTCAATTTCGGTTTTCAAAGTTAGATGTTCGGTTAATCGAAAAAACCAAATTAACTAAAATTTATTATATAATGTAATATATAATATACAATATATAACATTTAATATATAATATGCTATGTATTTCTATATTAATATATTATATATATGTATTATAATATTATATATTATATATTATAATATATAATATTAAATATTAATTAAATTCGATTTTTAACCCAAATAACCGAAAACTGAACCGAAAATTTTGATTTTGATTATTTTGGATTTCTTGTAATTTGGTTTTGGTTTGGTTTTCATTTTTTTATTTTGATTTTTAAAATTTATGTTTTATTTTCAGTTCGGTTTTTAACCGAATAAACCGAATGCTCACCCTAGGCGTTTGACTTCCAGTTTGGCCCATGGCTTCAGTCCATCAATGAATTTGAACAATAGATCCTTGTCGGACATGTTCGAGATCTCTAGGATAAGGGTTGAAAACTCTTTGATGTATTCATGGAGTGAGTCCTCGTGCTTGAGTCCCTTAAGCTTTTTTTTTTTTTTTTTTCTCGGGCTAGGTACTCCACGTTCTCTGGATAGAATTGTCACTTTAGTTCTCTTGAAATCTGCCAAAGTGTTGATGGTGCATGTGCCGCTCAATGTCTTGGTATTGCATGCGCCACCAAAGCATAGCAGCATCAGTCAAATACATGGTTGCATTACGAACCTGCGTTTATCAATTATCAATGCCAACAAGGCAATATTGCTCCATTTGCCACAAGAAGTTTAGTTCTCAATCATCTTGGGAGCCGGTATAAGGTGTCGGCTTCTGAATCTTCACACGAGTAGGGCTAGTGTTGTGGAGGGGCTAGGTGTACTGGCTATTGCTCTCTTTAGAAGGGTTATATCCCCTCTAATGTCGTTTATTTTAGCTTGGAGGTCAACAGGGGTGGCCATGGCAGATTTCATGGCCAACCACTCTCTCTTCATTTATTCTAATTGTACTTGAACGGCTACCGGCATGGGCATGGATCTCTTCCATGTTGACCATTCCGCTTTCATCTTGTTGACCTTGTCTTAGATGTTGGATCGAGATAAGCTCCCTTCTTGCTCGATGATGCGCCAAGTACTTCCTTGAGGGTACCTTTTAGGACATCTTGGACCTTGCTCACGATGCCATTCAATGGGGCTTCTAGCTCCACCATGGAGCTCTTGAGGGTTTCCACATTGAGGTGGATCTCTTCAACTCGTAACTAGCCTCGTGACAATTGATATCAAAGCCGGTTGCTCTTCAATGCATCATGACCCTTACACGACACTAGTGGTGGCCCACGCCCAGGACCACTGCTAGTACCAACGTTGACAGTGGTACTAGGGTAAAGATATGCTCGATGGATATTATAATAAAAGAGTTAAACCATCATCAGTATTCATGACCATAACAACAATAACAGTGTTACATGTAAGTTGGGGWGTCCATGCTGGAGATAAACGTTGACAGTGGTACTAGGGTAAGGATATGCTCGACGGATATGGGTTAAAGAGAAATGCGGTGTTTAATAACTGTTGAATTAAGCGTTGAAGGTAGAACACAAAAAAGATGCCAAATATAAAAATACATGTTAAGCATTTGAGTAAACCTATAACCTTATCTATAGAATGATGAAGCATGGATGATATAGACGCTTCCTTCAGCAGTTAATCCTAATCCCAGATAACTCAAGGTCAGGTAAGGCGAGTAAAGGGTTTGACAAAGCAGGTTCCTTTGATCCATAATTTATAGTCTTTAGTAGTCCTATTAGTGTGATAATATTATGAAGAAATCTAGTAATGGTGCCTTGAAAAAAAATTGCAGGTACGTAACAATGAAGGAATAGTACTTTAAGGGAGAAGGAATGATGGATTTAAACATTTTTCTGCCATTAAATAAAATTCTAGAGATAAATAGAAGTTTTAATCTGGTCGAATTTCAAAATTGCAAATATAATTTAAGCATATAGTAAATGCAAAGACAAACAAATACACCAAGAGGATTTCAATTTAAAAAAAATGAAAAAGAGCAAAACTGTTTTCATCCTTACTTTTAGTGTCTGAGAACTCATGGTCAGAGATTCCGAGATGGTGATTTGAGTTTTTTTAGACTTTACCTTTTCTTAGATCTTCTTTGTATCGTGGGCCTCGTAGCTATGTATAATTATCAGAGAGTAATCAGTTATAATGCTGAGCTGTACGATACAATGCTCAAAGAATTCCCGTATTGCAAAAAGCAGAGAGGTGGAGGTGTGGAGGTGAGGAGAGTTGCAGAGTGCAGACTTGCAGAATGAAGGCAGACTGCAAACATTCGAACCCTTAAGAGTCGTGACCCTTTACTACTCTACTAGATACCTACCCACCCGCTTTATTTGACCCACTTTCGAGCTGGATGTCAAATTAACCTGTTCATTTGCTCAACGGGTGATTTAACCCAAATTTGACCCGCATGTCAAATGGTTGGGTTTGCAAGAATAGGTGGATGCGTTGGATGGATCAAACGGGTTGCGTGAGTGCCACCCTATCACAAGTATGCCCTCAAAGTGTCATTGTACGTGTCATGATGGGCTATTTATGTATTTTGTATGGGGGATTGACAATACTATTCACCCCCAAAAGCTTAATTTAGGGGTCATTTAGCAAGTCTTTTTTTAAAGATCTTCTGGAAGCTCTGATAGTCAAAAGACGAAGTGAGCTTTTTGCATCAAGATCTTAACAGCTTAAAGATTGTTTGGTTAAGGCGCGTATGTCTGTGCATCTTTCTGCGTGAAGATGAGTTGAAAAAAAAAGTGAGAGCTTCCCAAAAATACCCCGAAATGGGCTTCCTGCATCTTTTTGGGGTTGCGGCTTTCAATGGCTAGTTCTTTTCCCAACTAAATGGGAAAAGACCAAAATGCGGGCTGCTAAACTTCTAAAAAGCCGACAACCCACACGAAAAGACCAAACGGGGTCTTACTCTTTGAGAGGGGGGTAGGTAGTTAAGTGATGCCAATACCGTGTAAAGGCTAAGCACGAGGTCCCCTCGATACAAACTTGTGTGTTTGTGTTTGCCAACATTTAATGCAATACAGTGCCTTTTGCATTTATTATACGCTTAAATTATATTTGCAATTTTGAAACTTGACCAGATTAAAACTTCTGTTTATCTCTAGGATTTTATTTAATGGGCAGAAAAATGTTTAAATACATCATTCATTCTCCCTTAAAGTACTATTCCTTCGTTGTTATGTACTTGCACTTTTTTTTCGAGATACCATTATTAGATTTCTTCATAATATTATCACACTAATAGGACTACTAAAGACTAAATTATGGATCAAAAGAACTTGCTTTGTCAAACCCTTTACTGGCCTTACCTGACCTTGAGTTATCTGGGATTAGGATTAACTGCTGAAGGAGGCGTCTATATCATCCATGCTTCATCATTCTGTAGATAAGGTCATGGGTTTATTCAAATGCTTAACATGTATTTTTATATTTGGCATCTTTTTTGTGTTCTACCTTCAACGCTTAATTCAACAGTTATTAAACACCGCAATTCTCTTTAACCCATATCCGTCGAGCATATCCTTACCCTAGTACCACTGTCAACGTTTATCTCCAGCATGGACACCCCAACTTACATGTAACACTGTTATTGTTGTTATGGTCATAGATACTGATGATGGTTTAACTCTTTTATTATAATATCCATCGAGCATATCTTTACCCTAGTACCATTGTCAACATTTATCTTCGGCATGGACTCCCCAGCTTACATGTAACACTGTTATAGTCATGGATACTGATGATGATGTAACTCTTTTACTGGATGACAGGAGTTTGCCATTTTAAAAAGAGCGAAAGTGAACTCTTTGCTCGGATCACAACGTGGATTGGTTAAAGGTTTCAATTAGAAATCTTGATTAGACACTTCTTTCTACAGGGCATTTTCCAGCCATGGAAACCACAGAGAAACCAGAAGAAACAGCACTGATTGTAAGTATTTGTTGATGATCTTAGTCCTCTTGGCTGTTACTTTCTTGAGAGAAGAAAGGCATTAAAAAATGTTCTCCTTATCATCGTAAAATGTTCTTGCATGCATTGAACGCTGATTATTTTATTTTATTTTTTCACCTTTCTTTCTAACCTTATGTGCTGAGTAGGTTCAGCCTAATCATGCTCATTTCTTGGCCAAGGCCAGGGACATTTTGAACACCATGACTGTAAATTTAAGCTGGATTCCCAGAGAATTAAATACTACAGCCGATGGTTTAGCTAAATTGGGTACCTTTAGGGAAATTTTGTAAAGTGAAAGAAATCTTCCTCTGTAATTTCTTTTTGCTGGTTTAGCTGTAGCACATACATCTCCTCATGTACCTTTCTTCTTTTTAATACAATAATTTATATCTTCTTCAAAAAGATTCAGCCCAATCGTTGAAAACTTCACTCTGCTACATGAATTTGGATTTCTGGAATATCCAGATTTCAGATTTTGATCACTCGTAGTATGTTGTAGAGATTTCCAGTTTCTTATGTCATGCACTTGTCAACCAACCTTGGATTAGTTGTTGACCATGCACTAATTACCATAACATGAGTGCAGCAGGGTGTCTTTGATATAAATTACTGGTGGATTCTCTAATGCTTCCTATGGTATTTATCAATCTTAATGCCCAAATTGAAGGTCCTCCCCTTTTTTAATCAAATGTAAAGCCCAATTCATAGCTGAGTGATTGGATGCCCAAATTGAAGGTTTTACCTATTTATATATATAGGTGAGTGATTGGAGGACCTGCTATATGAAATGAGTGAGTGGACATTTTACAGTATACCTTAATGCGAGGAGATAAATGACCAAACATGTATGACTAGTTGTGGACAATAGGTAAAGGATATTTATTATCATTTTAATCCATTAAGTATGCAAATGGTAAAAATATGCTAAAATTGAGATTATTTGAGTATGTCAAATGATGGCAAGAGCTGGTTATCCTTTTTTACACTTTCCTGGTTACATGACTGTTTATTGTTCAATTTGATATGTTGTCTAATTTGCTAACACCGTTTTATCTAAACCAGGGAGCTCCAAAGATGGCAGGTACAGTAAACTGGGGCACAGCCACTATTATTGGAGTATTTGCTGGTATGCTATATGGAGGCAGCAAGGAGGCAACTGCATCTGTTGTGAGTTTACATTTGTGAATCACTTTTTATACACTAATAAGACCATATGGAATGGTTGTTCAGTTGCAAAATGCTCATTATTTTCTGCTCACTTCACCTAACCAAAATGCATACAATATTGAAAGGTGGAAAAGGGGAAAAAAGAAGGGACACTGAGAAGACAGAAAATTGCTAGAAATCAAGGTGCCAATTAGCTGGTTGGTAAGGTCTCCTGCTGTTTATAGCAGAGACTTGGGATTGAATCTCGCCCACACCATAATGAAAAGTTGAAGTTTTGATCACTCAGAAAAAAGGAAAAAATAAGATGGGTCAATGAATAGGGGACATGGCTTGGCGCATTGTTTAAACCTGGGGCTGACAAGCATGGGAATGTAGGTTTCAATCCCCCTCAAACCCTGGTTAGCTGCGATACATATCAGTGAAGTGGACAGCTGCTCCTTTCTAATGCTCATACCCCTCCCCCCACCCCCAATTAATATGAATACTTTTAGTGCTATATTTGGGATGCTTGAAAATTCCAAAGAAGATTATTTGGAATTTATCAATGTTACCCAATTATATCAATTAAAAAGTTGAGAGACCGCACATGCGGCATATTCATTTGTCTTTTGATTGGTTTTGATCTCTTAGAACCTATCAGAAAAGATTGTTTAGGGGATAACGTGCTTGTCAATTTGCTATGTCATGTATTTTAAGTGGTCCACTGTGTCCTACTGGAGTTCAACTTGGCTTTGTTGACAATGTTTATTAAGAAAAAAAATATACTTATGGCAGAGCAAAGATGCAGAGGTGATGTTAAAGCTTGGGAGCACACCTGACAAGCGTGAGCAGTACCGGTTAATGAGAGATGCAATGGAGAAAAGGTTCATCCGAGTAACTCGTGGGTCAATAGTTGGTGGGGTCCGCCTTGGAATGTTTACTGCTGCTTTTTATGGCTTACAGAATCTGCTTGCTGAGAAACGAGGTGTACATGATGTTTTTAATGTTGTTGGAGCTGGTTCAGCCACTGCTGCAGCATTTGGCCTCATCTGTAAGAAAATGAATTTCATCCATCATCACATTGCTTATTACCTCTGGTCAATCTCCAATAATCAAAATTTGATATTATTGATTCTTCTCAAAGAGTCAAATAAGCCATCTTTCTGCCTAAGAATGCTATTGTTCTGTATAGCTTACTCCTCAAATAGAGAACTTTAACTGTATTTGAATTGCCAAGGTTTACCTTAATCTGCTATATTCGTCATCTTTAATATTTGCAGCAGTTGTTTATGGGCCTTTCTTGTTTGGTTCCCTGAGATTTTTTTTTCTCAAGTACTATAATATATCTCACATGGTTTTTGTTATTAAATTCATAAGCATCAAGAGTGAGCATAAGCATCCCTAACCCCATTAACAATTTGTTTTAAATTAATCAAAAGAAGCATATGTGCACATTAATTTGCATAAATACGTTAATGATGAGTTATCCATCAAAAAATAAATAAATACATCAATATGAAAATGTTTACATCCCAAGCTTTTTATTCCTTGTTACAGACAGTAGTTTGATGCACATTTAGTACCTTTGGAAATGTAAAGCACATATGGCCAACCAGAACATAAATCAAGATATTTCCTACTCAGCTTCTAGGTGGACCTAGTCAGGAAATTTACCAATTATATGATTCTGAACATCAAACCAAGTACTAAAACTGGGATGATTAAAAGAGTATGTTTAACTGTTTTCAGCAGTGTTATTTGGATGCCATGAAATTAATGGATTGAAATCTGCCAATATTTATCACTAGCCATGAAGCTTCCTGTAATGTACTAATGTAGATAATTGAGATGGAGTTTGGATAAGTTTGGGGATATAAATCACTGAGTGGACTTAATTAATGAGCAATTAGATATTTTGGAGTCTAGAGAAACTTGGTGAGAAATTACTGCTTCAGCTGCTCAGCAATAGCTCTTCTGGAAACAGAAAGTCCAGACAACCATGGCTCCCACATGGTGATTTTTACACCTTTTTCCACAAAATTGTGAACTTTAGAAAGCATAAAAATCAGATTCCATTGTTGTTGGTTCCACCTTCGTGAACAAGAACTCTGAATTGTTGTTGTGTTTTAATCTATGATCTTCTTGTTATTTTGGGTGCTTTTGTAAATTCTACATGGGAGGGATTTGGTTCTTCGGATTTTGCAAAATCGATTGATTTTGATTTTGAAGATTGATGCATCCATCATAGCTTGCAAGCACAGTCTTCGCACACCTATGGAAGCATAGGTTCATGAGAGGAGTTGCAGGAGGGTTTCAAAGTCCCGGAAGTTTTCTGCCGGTCAGAAAATGGAGAAGTTTTTTCAAAGTGAAAAGGAAGGAATTCCTGTTGGAGGAGCTGTTCCAACAGAAAGAGCTTACCGTTAAGATCCAAGAAGGTAGAAAAGGTACAGTTCTGCTAGTGGGGGAGGCAGCGTTTTGGTTTCAGAGTTTTCTGGTTGGTGCGGTGAATGTTAGTTGGAGAATGGACTGGAAAAGGCACAATAAGCATTAGAAATAAGGACTACTATGCAGCAAGAAGGAGAAACAGAAAGGGATGGTTTGTGTCTTTAGAAGAAAGGTTTGAGAAGGGAAAGAAGCAACTGATTATCATTCCAGAAGGCAAATATCTGGAAGGGTGGTCAAGAGTTGCTAATGAACTTCATGTGATGGTAAGTAGAAGTTAGGGGAATAAAGAGGAGAGTGACACAACAAAGGAAAAAAGAATTTGTTGAAGCTGAGGGAATGGAAGATAAGTGCAAGTGCAAGAACTCTGCGACAAATGCTTTAGTTACAACAGAACCAATAATCAGGTTAGAGGGAGAGAAGGGGGACTGGGAGCAAAAGCTAGTGGTTATGGCAAACAACGGAGTGACGAATTGGGAAAGAATTTCAGAAGATGTAACGAAGGAACTAGGTTTCAAGTATACAACAGCTCTAACACCATTCAATGAGAGGAATGCCATTCTGGATGCAGGTAAGTCGAAGGTGGATGTTGAGACTGTTGTTACGGAAGAAGGAAGTGTGACAATCTAGAAATGGTTGCCATCTTGCAACTCTTTAGAGTTAAATGGCAACTGTTTTAAGTTGAACCTGTTGGGCTTGCCCTTCAATCTTTGGCAGAGGAACATACTTGAGCAAGTAGTGACAACAATTGGAGGTACGTTGCTTTTGTTTAACAAACATGATTTGAGAGAAGTACGCCTGAAGATTGCTGGAGTCAAGCCAGAGTTGATTCCGAGATCTTTCATGTTGCACACCGGAGGTCTATGGAACAGAGTATGGGTGGCCTTGGAAGTGGAAGTGAAGCTCTGGTTCGGGAAGACGAAGGAGAATGATGACTTGGCCGGATGGGTTACAAATGGCGAGGCATGGGTGAATGAGTATAGTGAAGTGGGCATTGACGTGGAAGCAGGAAAGGTCGCAGAGAGGGTTTTGGGCAAGGCGTTTCAAGTTCCAGACTTGAATGTAGGAAGAGAAAGGGGAATAAAGGAGGTTAATGAAGAAAGAGATCCACATTGGGGAAGATACACCGGAAGGGGCTAAATTGATGAGTGGGTGGGATCCACTGCTTAAAGAGAAGAGATTTGAAAAGAATTTATCTGAATCGGCTGGTCCGCCAACGGTTCAAAAGAGTCACTCGTTGGGGTTTGGAAACTCACGTGACCACACTAGTAATCATCCGTTGCTTGGGTCTTTGATAAACTCAAGTGGTGGGGTCTATTCAAATACATTTGCCATCTCTCCTGGGTCCTCTCCCCCATGTTTACAAGATAGTGGGAGTGGCTAAGAAGCATGACGCAAGACCGCCATCGGCTATGTCAGAACTGGGTTCTCAACTGAAGACCTTGTCATGCCAAAAAGAAATGTCAAAGGAAGATCAAGGTTGCAACGCCAAAGAGATCGATGCAGGAAGGAGATTCAGTTTAGGAGAAAGGCAGTTGGCGAGAAAAAGTTTCATGGGCTTACCCGACCGAAGTTTAAAAGGAGTGGAACAGTAGGAAGGAGGATTTCGACCAATGCCAGAGAAAGATGGGTTTGGGTGGTCGCTAGATACGACAAAAATGGTAGGAAGAGGATTGTAGGTGGAACTCAATGGGTTTTCGGCGAACACACTCCTCCCATGATTGGAGATGCGGGACATCCTTTTCAGGAATTTAGGGTTCCCGAAAGGATTCTTGGTTCTTCCAATCCCGAAGTTACAGAGCTGACACCCCTTGAGGTTGGGTGTGATCTTGGAGAACCAGGCTCGATGGCATTACAAGAAAAAGTTGGTGCCAAGGATCTACCTGTTAACTTTGAGAAAGAAATTTTTAAATTTTCTGATGGGATTGAGGAGGGGGATGGAGTGGTGGAAAGAGCTGAAGTGGAAGAAAACTGTGATAAGGAGGGAAATTTATCAAAGAGAAAGGTGCTTTCATGTGGAGCCAAGAGTAGGGAGATGTGTGGGTAACGGGGAAGGTAACAAGTGATGGAAAAGCTGAAGGGACAGACAAAGAAGTAGGAGGGTGGACTTCGATTCTGATCGGAAAGCTGGGGGTGGAGCTAGGTAGGAGAAGAGTTGTAACCGACCCGAGACAAACTAATTTAGAGAACCAAAAGGTGGTGCCGCCGGAAAATGAGAGGTTACAGTAACGGACAACTTGTTCATGTAACCAAGGTTTTTCATCGTCTCAAGGAAGGATTGGTCGGCAATGGTCCTTGCGACTGATTTAAGAGAATTTACAAAAGGAAAGGACTTAAGACAAACTCTAGACCTCAGAAATGTCCAATCAAAAGATGCAGGCAGTTAAACTCAAGGTACACAACAGAGACCAGAAGAAGAAAACCAAGGAGAAGTTGGAGAAGCTTCAAAGACTGGGGACAGTAGCGGGAAGACAGGAGAGAGAGAGAGAGAGGGAGGGAGAGGAACAGATTCAAAAGGACCAAGAAGGCAAGGAAGTAGTACAAAATGGGAAGGTGAATATCAATAATTTTGGGGTTGATGGAGGGGGAGGAAGTTGAGGTTTCTTAGCTGGATTGTGAGGGGTATGAAAGAAGGAAGGAGGAGGGAGGTGAATGGGTGGAGCTTTGAATTTTTGATAGCAGGAATGGGCAATTTGATCAAGTCTCCAAAGCTAATTTGTTTGAAAATTTATGGAATTTCCTTGATTTACAGCCTTGTAATGCAGAATCCTTTGTGTTTGTATTTGGTGTGTCATCTAGACAACCACGGGTGTTAGGATGTAATCTTTTTCTTTTAATGATTTTTTTCTTGATTCTTAAAAAAAAATTCTCCTAACAGAAATCAAGAAGAAATTTTGTTGTGTGGCACCCTTAGACTGTGTCATGACTCATGAGAAATGTCATGTTGAATAAGGAATCTAGATTATTGATAAAAAAAGGGAACCTAGATTGTTGATAAAAAAGGAACCTAGATTATTGACAAAAAAAGGAACCTAGATTATTGACAAAAAAAGGAACCTAGATTCCACAGCTTAGATTTTGCATCTTTTCTTTTCTTATTCCTACTACATTTAGAAGTTATTAATTTACAAAAAGGCTATTACCAAATATTAGTCCCAGCTATCTGGGTTCTTGGGATGGGTGGGCTGGATTTGGTCCTAACCTTTGGCTTTTTACCATTACACCAAGTAATGGCCCTGAGCTACAATTTCTAGATTTTGACATGCCACGCACCTATGTTCCCTATAGTAGGCAACATTGGTTTCAGAGAAGAATTATAGTTAGATGATACCTTATAGTAGGCCATTATGGATTTCAGTGGTGGCGAACCTATAATAGCAGCTTTGTGTCTGTGTGTTCATTTTGATAATTAATAGCTTTATATCTGCGTTTGATATGTACATTTTCCTTCTTTCTCTTTCCAGTGCCAGGGTCCCTCCTTTGGCGTGCAAGGAATGTGTTGATGGGTTCATTTTTGGGAGCAGCATTTTGCTTCCCTCTTGGTAATATATTTCTGTTATTTATTTTTTCAGAAAATTTTGATTTACTTTCATGTTCTAGACTTCCAAGAGTAAAATACTGCCCATGATTGAACCAAAATTTATTAAGTAAATTTTGATTTACTTAATAAAAAGACATTTATTAAGACGATGATGGGTGAAGGTATACAAAAATATACAAGCTTTATGGCTCAAGCACCAAGAAGAGAACAAAATCCTCATAAAAAAGCCTTCTTTTTGACAAGGAACCCTCCTTGGCTCCTCTTAATTTATCAAACTTTTTTTTTTTATCTTTAATTTCGTAATTCCAAATTTTTCTATCAATACCACCCCACCAAAACCCTCCTCTTAATTTATCCCCCCCTTTCCCCCATACAATTTTTTCTTTTAATGAGATTCATCTAGTAAAACAAACTTGATACTCACATGAATAAGCCAAACACCACAGACCTACTTCTTAATCCTCCAAATTGTCAATGACATCTTCTGGTCAGATCAACTGCTCCAGGAGCCAGATCCCTATTCCCTAGTTTTTTTTTTAGATAATTTGCTAAATCTTTGACAACATTAGCAAATTGCCAGTCAAAGCTGGTACCTTGTCGACTCTATTCCCAGTTGTTAGTAACCTTATCCATGCAAAAGATTTTGTTCTTGTTTTTTCTTTCTTTTTTCTTCTAAAACTTTTGTCTGGAAAATGCTAAAGAAACTTGATTGGCTGTTCAACCCGAAGGTTTTCCTTTTCTAAACATATCTGTTAAAAGGAAAATGAGAAGTACTTTTTTATAGAAGATTTTGTTTTCCTTTTCCCAAAGGTGTCATGCGGTTTGTGGGCCACCATTGACTTTCAATAGCACTCCATTTTTTAGCTTTGACTAAAACATGTCAGTTTTTTTATATTAAAAAAAGTCGGTTTGCAAGATACTGTTTTTTTCTTTTTGGGTGATTGGGTGGGTTCAGTTTAAATTCTCATAAAATCAGATTGACATCTTTTTTGATTGTTCAAGACTGAATAGTTTTATGTACCAATAAGGAATTGAATTGAATGGCAGAATTAAGGTTCCCTCTCTCACAGGTTGGGTTCATCTGAAGCTTGTGGAGAAAGCAAATGAAGAGAACTTGGCTGCTTATTCCACATTGGATGAAAATGGAGAGGCAAAGAGTGGAGTCGGTGCTGCAATCGAGAGGCTTGAAGGGAGCTTGAGTAAATAATATGACAATCTTAAGTGTTGAAGATCAAACATTAATGCACTGTGGAAAGAAAAGCAAGCGTGGACAAGGAAGAAAGAGAAAACCGTTGAAACAAACTTGATACATCTTGTGTATTTTTTTTTTTTAATTTTTTCAACCAGAGTAGGGAATTTCGTTCGAGTACATACTACATAGCCATAAGAAATTCAGGGACTATCTACCACATACGGGTTCTCGAGATGGCACTCACATGCTTGTTTAGCAATACAATGAGCCAATTCATTACAATTAGAGAAATAAAGGGAATTACCGCATTGGAGATCCTTCTAAGAATAATCCTGCAGTCACCAATGATGGTTTTAATTCGCTGAGAAGAGAGACGACTCCAACAGGGGTTTCTTGTGTTTCTAAGTTGGTAATTGAAACCTGGTTCCCATTTGATGTAGGAACTAGGAACTTTTCTAATTTCAATTGTGCAAACAAATCTTGTAGATCTGTCGTTCTATATTTGTCAAAATAATATTATTACCTAACTGCATAATGTTCGTAACCTAACTTTGATTATGTTTTTGTTTCTTTTAATATGTATTTTTAAGCTACCAGTTAGATGGCTGGTTTCCTTTTCACTGGCCTTACCTATTCTTATTCTTTTCATTCCCTCCATAACAAAGGACCAAAGTGAAATAAGCACTTTTTTTCTTTTCAAAATTTTTCTTCTCAAAGTTTTCCTCTTTAATGGTTATTCTTTTTTTTTCAGAATAAATCAATTAAAAGAATCCTTCATTGATTGCGCTAGTGATTTTAAAATGTGGAGGTTGTTTTGGAATGGAGAGTATTGCATTTCACAAGCGTTCTGTTCACCAAGAATCAGGAACGCCACTCTCTGGTTATACGCTTGTACATCGGTTTTTTCTCTTTTTGAGAAACACATAAATTTAAAAAAAAAAATTGGTTCTCTCTGATTATGCATTTTTTGTTTCTGGAAAACCCATAGAAAACCCCACTTGGTGGAGAGGTTTTTTTTTTTTAATTTTATTTTTATGGTAATCAGAAGGAGCTCCACAAGATAGGAATAGCATGCATCCAGTGCTTGGAGTTTGTTTTTAAAACATTTTCATTGTAACAAGGGACTCTTGGATCTCTTGCCCACAAGAACTCTACCCACAAAACACTACCTCCGTGCATTGGGAACATCTCTCCATGCATAACAAGATGTAAGAGCATGAGAAGTTCCCTATGTGGCTGTGATCTCATGTGAATAGTGTGGGTAGAGTCATGTGTAGGAGATCTAGACTCGGGCACAACATCGCAGAAAAACTATCAGCTTTTTCAGTCATTCATCACCATTATCTTGATTCACATCATTTTGATGATTCAAGAAACCATCTTCTGATGAAACCCACAGCATAATTAGCAAAAATCGATTTGCCAAATGTAATTAAATGGTGTATTTGTTTGTTTTGTTCCCAAGTTGGTGAAACGGAACATTTGTAAAATTCGTCTGTTTAGCTAAACAGAACCTTGGTTTGTTCTTGGCATTTGACAGAAACAGTATGGTAATACCTGACCATATCAAATAAAGTCCTTTTTAACCCCATAACATAATATGGTAATACGGGGACTAGCAGATGATCTTTATTGCACAACCAAAACCATCATCATATCGGGTATGTACAGAACTTGAATATTTATTTACTTTAATAAATTATGTGATCAGCACAGTTTCTATCACAGGGGAAAAATTATGTAAACAATTCAGTATAATTCTTGTCCTCCTTAAGGTTTGGAGGAAAAAAAGAACTACTACAATTATACGTTACTGTAACAAAAAAAATTACATTTCACATATGATCAAAAGAGTATTCATGAATTTTAATGAATTCGATCAAGAGACTGGCCTCTGTATAGTTTTGTATTCTTTAGGCATCTTTCTGCCTGTGTTGTTCCAGAAAGGGTCTTCTCTAAGGAGTATAGAGTATAGACCCTGTTCGATCACCAATATGCTTGGAGACAAGTCCAATCTCCAAATACTGTGACAGCATGATAGCGCTCTAGCTCTGAATGGCATCAAGCCCATACTAATAATTATTTACATCATGCACTGATAAGACTGCGGGAACCATCTCAACATCAAGAAGTGTTTCATTCTTATCAATAGAGCAAAAATGCCATAGCATGGGAAATGCATCAATGCTACTGATAAGTACCTGCAAAACATTATCAACAACACAAGGGGCTTTGTTATAAGGCAAAATAACTATATTCCATTCTATCATACCATATAAAAGGGTAAAAGGGTTGATGTCCTGAATATCTAATACAACCTACAAGTTCAAGTGCAATTAACCGGCTCCCTTGGATGAACCATGAAACCAAAGATTTCACTGGTCAGATGATCTCAATCATCTGATAAGCAGATCATCATCATCAAGAATTGCACAACTGATAAGCAGATCATCCCCTTTATCTTATACAAGGCATGGATAATATTTTTTTTTTTTTTTTTTTTTTTGGGATTGGTATGCCATCATCATCATCTGATGCCTTATCCCAATCCATTCTATTTAAAGCCATATCCACTATTAAATTATTAGTGCTTAAATAATTTCTTACTACTTCTACCCATGTCCTTTTTGGTCTACCCCCTAGCTCTTCTTCTAACTAGAGCAGTTGGTGGTCTTCCATGCATGTGACCAAACCATCTTAGTTTACTCTCTCTCATTTTATCACTTATTGGAGCTACTCCTAGTTTTCTACAGATGACTTCATTCCTGATCCTATCCTTTCTAGTTTTTTGATTGGTATGTATAGGATTTATTTTCTCTTGTGTATTAAGTTAAGATTACATACCAGACTGGAGCATAGGAAGATGACAAGTCAAGAAATGGGTAGGGCCACCTATCATAAAGAGAATTATCATTACATGTAATGAAAACTAGAGGTTATCAGAGCAGAAGGTTGAAAGAAGAAACCAACTTTACCAAATTGAGATACACGCATGGACAAGCCACTGAAAAATGACATATATTCCCGTCCATAAAATAAAGTATGCAAACCGAAATAGAGGAAACCGCTGAAAGGTAAAACACGCAGTGATCAGGCAAATAACTTGAAAAATAAAATGAAAACTTGAAAAAGATAAGTAGCAAATTAGCAATGATAAATTACAACTCACCAAACAATTTAAGGCCATATCCCCAAGCAGTATAATGGCATTGATTGAGTGCATACCAATCTTCAACTAACACAGGAGGAAAAGAAACACTAATCAAATAAGAAGGATTTTTGGAGAAGGAATTGAATCTTCTAGACAATATAAAGATGAATTCTCCTAAAACCACTTAACAAAATATAAGAACAAGCTAGCAGATGCATCCTTACTAAGATGTATGGCTATTGGCATAGCTATAAATCATTTCAAAAAATGAAAAAGTAAAACAGAAAAGATAAAAGGAATGGCTCTGGATATGATCAAGGTACCGCACTTGCTCAGTCACAAAATGCACGTATGAAGACATGAAAATATCATTAAAATTTCATTTTTAACATTAATGTCTCTTTTTCTCTCAAAACGAAAAATTAAGATTCCATCCAATTTTTATTCAAATGTTGACATAGTGATTAACATCAGAAAAAAATAGTACCAAAAAAAGTCTGGATGCCACTTTTATTAGATAAGTAGCTTGCAGATAAACAAATCAACTGTTCACTTAATCCTGAATTTTCTAAAGGAATATGTGGAAAAAAATTTGTAAGGTAGAAGATATGGTTAACCTGCTTGGCACTTGAATGGACCTGTCATTTCTAAGTTGAATAGGTCTTTTGGGTTTCATTAACTATCACAAGGCTCATCTTAGAGTAAAAGTTCGACATTTGGAAAAAGTCATAAAAACAACAGCATACAGATTATGATGTTGCAATAGAAATATGGATTCAAACCAAAATAAAATACAAAGGATAAAGACCTTTTTAAGTGGGAGCTGACAAGTTTTCCATGTCCAATTAACACTAGAACCATATTTATGAATGCATACAGCATAAGCAACTATAGGTGAGGAAAGAAAATTAGATCAAACTGTTTCGTTTGATACTTACAAAAGTCAGTTTGTAGTCTTTCATGGTTAAAAATGGAAAGAGGATAAGCCAAAAGACAATATCAGTGAGCACCACAGCACCTGCGTTCATCTGTTAAATAAACAAGGAAAAAAAAAGGAGATTCAAGTTAAATGAAACAACATAGGTATTGTATTTAATAATATTATAAAAGAGAAAATTCTAAGGTTGTATTCCAATCCAGGATCATATTCAGGAATTAAAAGGGGTAGTAGATATATTAAAAAGTTAATGCTATCCAATTTAATCAACATTTGGCATAGAAGAATTCTTAGATATGAACCGTGAAAGTTTGTAACAACCATGATGTTCACCACATTTACCACTTTGCAACTGGTATGCATCCCTTATTTATTATAAAAAAACACTGATATATAACCCTTGTGATCTAACATATAGTTATATAAGCTTTCCTCAAAAAGAAATCCTATCTATGCATGCAAACTATACAGGAAAACGGGATTGCACAAGGAAGGAAGAATGAGCTACTGCTGGAGATGAAAAAGAAGAGAGGAGAAAAGAAACAATATCTCATTTTATAGATAAATTGGAAGGCAGAACATTGAATTTTCCTATCAATACTATGTTTTCCTAAAATAAAGCCTTCATAAATTCTTGGCATAGATTTTTACCTGAAAAATAACTTGAAAGACATAACTCCAAATTCCAGCAGTTTGGTGAACATAACGTTCTTCCTGTGGATCTGGTGTTTTTGCAGAGTAACAAGCATTTGCATTTTCCCCATGCATAGAAGCCATGTTGGTGCCTCGTTCTGTATCTATAGTGGAATGATTAACCTTATAACCACCAAACTTATGGTGGTATTGGTAACACCCATAAATGGAGAGCAAGGAACCAAGCTACAATTGGAATTGTAATCATAAGCAACAGAGATGTGTTGTGTGAAGATATCAAGTATATATAAAATGAATAAATCAGCTTATAAGTTATAATAAATAACAGCAACATCATGGAAGCAGACCATGACGATAATGATAACTTGACCAAGTGTGTGCATACAGACATTCAAGGTGAAAAATAGAGACACTCAAAAGAAGATTTTCTGGTATAATCCCTTTAAAGCTACAATTGGAATTGTAATCATAAGCAACGGAGATGTGTTGTGTGAAGATATCAAGTATATATAAAATGAATAAATCAGCTTATAAGTTATAATAAATAACAGAAATATAATGGAAGCAGACCATGATGATAATGATTACTTGACCAAGTGTGTGCATACAGACATTCAAGGTGAAAAATAGAGACACTCAAGAAGATTTTCTGGTATAAGCCCTTTAAAGTTAGAGGGCATACCCCAAAATAAATGGTAACCAATGTAAAAGTCCACCTGCAACATCCAAAACCAGAAGCCCAAAATAGATAAGAAAGTTCATCCTCCATGCTTAATTAGAAAGCTGGTCATACATACAACTTTATTATATAATAAATAAATAAAATGGTCTCTAACTCTCTATACTTCATGTTGTAGGAAGCTATGGAAACCTTCAATAACAGAAATATTAAAACTAAAATACAGGGCATTCCAAGTCATAGCAAATAAAAGTTTTCATTTACATGTACATTACTGAAAGCACTCTAAGGTGCCTTTGGTTACAATGTCTCAAAGTTTTATTTTTCCCCTTTAAGAACACGGGCTTCCTTTGCAAGATGCTCATACATTTAATCCCTTAGTTCAGATTATACTTTATGATGAACTCTCTGGCGTAACTAACCATTCTGAACTTACTAAAGCTTTTTCTTCTTTTATCCTTTTTTCCTGGATAATAGAAGTATAAGGAACAAAAAGAGGCTAGCTAACTAATTATGAAATTGGTCAGAAGATTTGTGTACCACATTCAATCAGTAATTTAGCACTATGACCAAGAAAAGTGGAAAACAAGACTTCCTATAAAACAAAATGTTTTAAAACATAGAGACATGATGTGAGGCATAATTCAGAATGTAAGAAGCATAAGCGTCGCGAGCACAAGGAGGCTTGCGCCTACTTAAGGGGTAGAGGTGGAGGAGGAAGAAGAAAAAGAGGAAGTGGATCCAGTCTTGTTCTTCCTTTTTTTTTTTTTGATAAGTTCCCTTTCTTTTTTTCTTCTCTTTTTTTTTCTTTCTTTTTCTTTCCCTTCCCTTCCCTTCCCTTCCCTTTTCCTTTTTTATTTCTTTTCTTTTATTCTTTCTCTTTGCATGAGTCATACACCTTAGAGGCACCAACTCCTCAGGGTGTTCTGGGGCGCCTCACCAGGAGGTGCGCCTCCAAGTGTATGCCTCCCACACCTTTTAAAACATTTAACAAAGCCATACAACTAGAACTATAAAGTTTCAGAACAAGGGTGTCAAACCAAAATTTGGTTAGCCACTTCAATGGTAGTTTAACTATTTAAGCATTAAAAAAAAAAACAAAACAAAAATTGGCTTACTGGGTATAGAAGAAAAATATGCCACCACCATCGACAATGACATTCGCAATGAGCAATGCCAAAAGTACAAAAAAAGCAATAATGCGAAAAGCCAGCAGCCAAGCAGGATGCAAGTCTTTCAAACATGGTTTCCAAGCGTCATCCTCATATAAAGTCCCTGCCTTTCCTTGTCGTGGTTCTCCTCCATCAATTTCTGAATCACTGGAACCTTCATATTTCCATATAAGTAGTGATGCCAGAACAATAGAGGTCAAGACCCAAATAGCACAAAGCAAGAACCTCCAGTTCAACCAATAACTAGGGGTGGTTGTATCAGAAATCACGACTGGATGCCATGAACGGTTGGAGACCCCTGTTAAGAAATCCATGGCGTTACATATAATACATTGATGTGTGTAAAATGTTTACTTCATTTCCAGGTGCTACTTTGTAGGAAAATTTAAAAGAGGGTCTAGTTTAACCCAAATCTATAAGAATAAGAACCAATGGAGAGGAATGAAAACAGAAACCCAAAACACAAGAATCTAAGACTAAGGCCATCAAATAGAAATGCAAATAGACACCATATACGCAAAATTAAATGAAAAGAATCCTAATTATTACTGGGTTTCTCATAAATAGTAGAATCAGTGAAGGAGAAGAGCTAGTCTTGCAAAGCAGAAATTCAAGCACCATGAAACAAGACGAATTTGACCTCATTAATGGTTGAAATTAAGCAGATATTCTTAGCTACGGTCCTACGGATGAGTTTTACACAGAAAGATAAGATCAATATTAACAATGAGAGGGAAGAAGCTGAATTCTAAGGAAAGGAAAGCTGAATACTTACATCGAAAAAGGAAGGAGAGCGAGGGTGGTGTGTAAACGAGATTCTTTGCTTCTTCACTTTGGAAGCAAAACAAGAAAGGAGAACAGAAGACAAAAGGGCGGCTTACTTTAGACATAAATTTCCCCTTTTTTATCTCTTCTCCAGATTACAGATATCAAGTTATCAACCAAACAAATCCCCGATTACGGACTCAGATGGTATTAATTGCTATATGCATATATATCCGTATCGGTCTATGAGATAAGAAAATTGTAAAGATCTCAACCACCCATTTTAGAACAGTCTTTCTTTCTTTCTTTCTTTCATTTTTCCTTTCTTTTAATCACCCAATATTGGAGGGAGAACGAGACAGAAACTGAGACAGAGACGCACGAAGACGACAGGAGTTCTTTTATGCAGATTTAAATATGCTTTTTTTTTTTTATAAAAAGATCTAAAACGATTGAAATATGCTTGAGCCTTGAGTTGAGGCCGCTTGGAATTGAAAAATATTTAGTTCAATGGGAATAGTAACTTAAAAAAAGAGTAAAAATGGTCAAAGTGATTGAAGTCGATCAGATGTGCAATTTAATGGATCATTTAATGTAATATGGTATGGTGCATTTAATGGATAGTTTGTTCTTCGTCAAATATATATAATATGGTATGGTGCATTTAATGGATAGTTTGATCTTCGTCAAATATATATAATATGGTATGGTGCATTTAATGGATCGTTTGATCAATGGGCCATCGTGCAGAAAATCTATATCCTAATTGTAAATTTGTAATTGTTATTGGCAAAAACTCCATTAACATTTATTATTTCAACTTATCAGTTATGGGTCAAATACAGAGTTCAGAAGTACAGGTGGAGGAACATCCATGATGTGAAAGGTCGGTCGTTGCACATGGAAATCCACAATGGAAGTGCATTTTTTTATTAATAATTAGTGGGGATTCGTATAATGTGGATTTTGTTAAGTAGAAGTTAAACAATAGAATTATATAGAGGAGTATATAATTTTAATAATTAATTGGATTGAATTCGACCATTGGCTTTGGTTCAGTAATTTTTCAATTTGATTGAGTTAGGTGAATTTTGATTTAGTTTTTTGTAAATCGATCAAAATTGAATCGACCCGATTATAAATATATTAATATTTTATATTTTAAATATATTTTTTTAATATGAAAAAATGGAAAAATTTTCATTTTTTTTACTTTAAAATATTTTATATTATAATTTCATTTTTTAATAATATCATTATAATTTATTAAATTTAATTTTAATTTTTAAGTTTAAATCTTTTGAACAAATAAACCAAATCGAAAATAAATCTAAACTAATACAACCCAAATTAATGGATTTTCACTAATGATCAATTGGTTTCAGGTGATAATTTACTAATTGAGCAGTTGGGTTGTTTAGTCTGCTTCCCCCTAAAAAATAATCCATTTATTATCAAAAACTCCTATGTGAAGGCACTAATACCCCTTACATGAACATGTGTTAAAAGCTATTATTATTATTAGAGTAGATATATCCTTTATCTTTTGCTCTTTTTTAGGGAGTTTTTAATTAAGTCTTTTTTTTACTTCGAAATTAATATACAGTAACTTGACTTATAGTTCAGATTGTTCTAAACCCGAGTTCATATCTGCATGTCCATCCTCGTTGTGTATTGGGAACATCTTCCAATGATGATATCATCGAGACTGATATTATCATCGGGAGATATTCTCAATGCACGAAGAAGATGTACTGTGGGGCGCCCCCTTGTGGGATGCAATGTAAACCCCCCAAGCCCAATTCTAGAAGGTCAAATTAGGCCTAGGGTTGAAAAAATATGCAATCAAAGTGAACTTTGGTTCTAATTTGTTTTGTTGTGTCTTGTCCATCTCATTGTCGAGCCCGGATGGATCACAGGTTTCGTTACTCGAAACTATCCAAAACGTTCTGATTGTCGCCTTCAAGCTACACTTGGTCCAAGTTGCAGAGAGTGAGAAACCAAGGACGGGCATCTCTCTTCTCGATGTTTCGTTCACTGGGGACCGCTCTTAACCATGGAATATATAGCTTAAGTTATTTTCTTTAGCTTCTCATACTTCGTATGATATACCAGTGTCAGACAAATAATATGTTTGATTTTTTTAATTATTAGTTAAGAGTGACCTAAATTATTCAAAAAATTACAATGACAAGATTATTCAACACGGCATTAAACAGAACAGAATGTTTGTAATTATTGACATGGCATTAAACAGAACAGAATGTACAAACATTCATATAGCTGACCCCATATGGTTGGTTGGGATAAGGCTTGGATGATGACGACGATGACGTACAACAGCGACGGCGATGCTCATTTTTTCCATGCATAAATGGTGAATTACCGGTCCTTATGATATGAGTGGAACAGAAGGCAAATTCAGAAATCATAAGCAGTCCTTACAATCAAGCAATAAGTTCGGTACTTCTTTTTATTTTAACTTTTACCTAAGAAATTTCTTCATTTGCCTACAAATGTGTATTAATATTTCTGGTTTTATATCTTGTTAGTCATTTTGTATTGGTCTAAAAATACCTGCTACTCCACCAAAACAGATGAGTGCAAGAGACGCTTGAACTGAGATTTGATATTTCATGCCACTTTTGTGTAAAAAACACATGGTTTGCCTGCGAAAGTCTGTTTAAGTATAACTGGAATAAAATCTCATTAATATACAGACACCATTTTCTACAACTGGAGCAAATTAGCCCTACTAATTATGATTGAGCTTCCAACATGGCACATCATCCATGAACCAAAGAGTTTACTCTCTAAAATTTTTTAAAAAAGAAAAGAATTTATAATATCCTGCCTATAGACCGATGAAAATGTTCAACTCCAACCCCCGTGACAATGGTGTAGAACAACAAAGGGCTGTAGAAGAACTATAAATATATCACTTTAGGGCCACGTTTGCTTTTCGGTAAATTACTTACCCAGGTAAATGTACTTACTTGGGTAAGTGTTTCCCAGGAAAGACTTACCCAGGTAAGTGAATTTACCCATGTTCTTTTATTTCCCATGTAAATAAGGCAATGACCATTTTAACCATAAAAATCCATTATTAAAAGGGGCATTTTTGTCCCATTCAAGTGTTAGCAATTTCCCCCTATGTGGGAAAGTTATTTATCCACCTAGGAGATGGGTTATCAGTTGCCCGGGTAAGTGACACCCAGGAAAATAGACTTTCCCTATTCCCCACATAAATCTGAGAAAAGAACATGAGATTCTTGGTCAATGGGAATCAAAATCCCATTGACTAACTTTCCCCCCTCAAAATCCAGAAAAAAAACACCCCCTAATTGGAAAGCATACAACAGGTTCTTGTTTTCTATTTGGTGCAAAGCCAATGCTTGTTAAGGAGCACTTTCTATCCACATTAGAGAAACACAAAAAGGGATCTCCACTTCACACCTTTAGATGATATCAGTGTCATCACCAATGATGGACAGGGAAAAAGGAGCAATAGCAACATTGAATGATGTTGCACGCACTTTATCAATATACATCATTTCAAAATCACCTTCCTGCATCACAACACTCATAAATAACACAGTTTTGGTCAATGATGATGATAACTTTAGTTTGGTGAATTTATAAATGTAACATTCAGGATGCAACAAGATAATTTCTACAAAAACTGGCCCTACAAAAATTCCAAGTATCAGCAGTAGTCAATGATAATGTGAATGTATAATGTAGTCATCATGTGTCTGTTTACCTAGAGGTTCATAAAGTATTTGATCTCTAAATAGCAATTGTTGACAGAATAGACACTTGAATAAAGAAATTCTCATGGATATTTGATGAATGGGATGTCCCATTTTACCATTCTTCCAGTGGGAGTGTTTAATGAGCATGCAGAGGAATACTCAAAACTAGTCTTCGGAAGAATAACTGGTTGTTCTCCTATAATTCCAATTCCCCTACCAGCAAAAAAGGAAAATATTCAAGTCAGAATATTTCTATCACCTGCAGTGTATCCATCAAGAAATGGACAATGATAGAAAAAGTCTATCATCACGCAGATAATGACAAATAATATTCTTTATTGAAGGGAGGGGAGAGAGAGAGAGATCACCATATGTTCTCTGTTTTTCCATTGGCGTCAGTAATGATCCAATGTCTTCTAAGAAGTTGGACAGGGCGGTGAGAATTATTGGTAATTCTTATCCTGTACGCAAAAAAAAAGATATTGATCCATTGAAGGCTGACTGTGATCTTCAATATACAAACTCCTAACCTGAACTCTGAAACCCTGAAGCAACAGAAAGAAAAATCTTTTATAGTTTCACTAAAAAATATGAAAAGATTGTGGCTATTAAATCATCAAGTGAAGAGCACAAAAAGAAAGGAGACATACATCATACAAAAACCTTAATGAGAAATGGAAATGGTGTCAATGGAATTGAATAGATACGTAACTTTAATTTACCAGCCAATTTGCTAAGATTATATGAGCATAATTTTGGCTAAATCTACAATATTGGTAGTTATAGTGGAGATAAAGGCTGCATCAAACATGATTTTATCATGTTTAAAGAATAAAACTCATCACACAATGCAACTTATGCAACATAGGAACTTATCTGTAAGTTTTCAGGTCAGCAAAAAAGGGCCACACACATCCATTCACCATCCTATATTCATTTATAAGTTCAAAAAAGGGCAGCCCAGTGCACGAGGCTCCCACCAATGTAGGGCCTGGGGAGGGACAGAGTACACAATGGAGCAACCCAACCATTGTGATGGTCCACCCTCATTCATGTGATAAGTTCCATCTAAAAAAACTTGCTACATGTTGAGAATAAATTGTTTTCTGGGAATTTCTCAATTAAACAGAATCCTCAAACTTTGGATGGTTGATATCACCTTGGTGAAATGTCCAATACATAGTAGGATGGGAGAGCAAACATGTAGCTTATCCAGAGGATCTCCTATCAGATGAATAAACAGTTTGGGTAAATAGCATACTTCCATGTGTTAGAAGAGAAGATGGTTTTGCAAAGAAGAAGCTTAATCTACAAGACCTATATACAATGTTCTAACAGAATATAATGTAAAATATATATGAACATTATCACATATCTGTATACAGTCACATAATTCTCAATTTGTCTCAAACTGAATAAACTGGACATCCATGTCAACTTTATACAGGAACCTCTCTGTGAAGGAGTAAACCTCAAATATCAACTTACTGCTGAGAAAAAGTTGGAACTAAGCTTCTTCAGAAAGTGGATTTTTAGATGAAACCAGGCACTACTGTAACAGAATCCAGCTACTATTCATTATTACCCCCCCCCCCCCCAAATTGGTTCGGAATGAGCTATTTT